CATACATAACAACACTGATTTAATTCCTTACATTGAAATCAAACTAAATATCAAAAGGAGGAAATGTGTTGACTAAACTGTGGGGTGTTTGCACAATTGAGTACTATATAGCAGTAAAAAGCATGAGGAATATTTCTACAAACTAACATGACGTGATTTACAGGATTTAAGGGATTAAGTGCAAGAAGTCAATTCAAAAGAGTTACACTTTTCATGTAAGAAATAAACACAAATAAGAAACTGCACAAGTATATTCCCATTCTGCAAAAGAAATCCAGGAAGTATAAACTAGAAAAGAAATGAAATTATGCTACTCTACAGTGGCTGAGAGAAGACAGAATGGAAAGGATAAGAAAACTGGAACAAATAGAGGGTCTGAAAGAGCCTTTTTGTGTTTTTCTTAATCCTTTATTGCTACGATAATAATGAAAATCAAAAATGTCAGACTCAGCTTTCTTAAATTGTAAAATTAATACTTAGCAGGATGCCTGCTACTTCACAGTTTTCAGATTCACGATGACTATCTTTTTAATTCAGTAAATTATCTTAGAATCTGCTCTGCATAAAGTAATACAGTGGGCACAAGGAAGACTTTAAGTTGGGTGAATGTACTGGATTACAGTCAAAAACTCTGTTCTCTATCAATGTTTCACATATAAAACGACTAAAATTTTACAGGTATATAGAAAGTTGGAAGAAAAGGAAAATCTCATAATAAATATGAAACTCTGGAGTATGAAACAGTTTACTTTAAGTACGTATCTGAATTTCATTCCTTTACAGTTTTATGTACTTCGTTTTCAAAATTAAGTAGTACAAGTTAAAATTCAAGAGATATGCATAATAGAGTCATTAAAATAATACTAAAGAATATAAATCAACTGAAGAACTGCAAAGAGAAGTCGTGTGATTGTGTAGGAGAAAACTAGACAAATGAAACAATTAAGAGGAAAAATTTTGTAAACCATGAGAAGAGAGAGCAAAAGAGGTCAAGGTCCAGTAAGCGGAAGAACACTTGTCATCTAACAAAAAAAAAAAAAAAAAAAGCAAAACTGTTCATCAGTTGAATGGATCCACAGATACTAAAGTCTCTCAAGACCTTTTTTCTAGGAAGTCCTGGAATTCAAGAAGCAATCAGTGTCTTTATGGTCTAAACCCCTAAGAGTTAGGGTTCTCCGTCACTTACAGTTGACAGCATTTCTAAGTTACACACTCTGAGAAGCAGCTCAGACATGACTGCTTCAGCTACCTTAACAGTGTAATTTTATTAACCTAAATAACTTCATCTATTAGTTTTCAGAGTGAGGAAAAATCAGCCTGAGAACAAACAATGTACAGGCAGAACAACACACAAATCAAACAAAGCAAACAAACACAACCTATGTTTATAGAAAGTAGACACCTTGTCATTTCCCCCATACCCAGTAAATTTTCAAATCTGACAGAGAAAAGAAAAATATGGTTAAAGAGCTGGATCCAAAAGATCCCAAAGACCCTCCAGTTCTAATTGACAATGGACAGATGGGTTTGGGGGTCAAATAAAGTCCAGCCATCTGTTTAAAAACTTGCTAAGACACAGGTCACATATCCAGGACAATAGCTAAAAAGGAAGAAAAGCAGATGTTTGATGAAGTTATAAGAGAAAATATGCAACCGTATCTGGATCAGATTTTGCATATAATAAAACTCTAAGAAAATATTTCTCTTTATTATCTTTAATAATATCCTTTTTTTACTCTTACAACTCTAAGGCATTTCAGTCTGGGAAATAAGATTTGCTTTTATGATGTAAAAGTCATTGCTTTTACTTTTATATGTTAGCATTTAAATTCTTAATCCTAATATATTAGTAATAATACATGATGATTGTCTAAAATTTAAGTAAAATGCTTAAAATGAGACTAAGCAGAAGACTGCTACTCTTATTACCAGCTATATATTCTCTTTGGTTTTTAAACGTACTAATATGCATCTAAAACTTTTTGGTCCATGCTGTATAGAATAAAAGAAAGCCCAAACTTAGTAAAAACAGAAGGAGAAGCATGAATGGGAAGCAAAGCGTCTCTCTCTCTCTCTCTCTCTCTCTCTCTCTCTCTCTGTCTCTGTCTCTCTCTTTGTCTCTCTCTGTCTCTCTCTCTGTCTCTCTCTCTGTCTCTCTCTCTCTCTCTCTCTCTCTCTGTCTCTCTTTTTCTCTCTCTCTCCCCCTCCCTTCCTCCCCCTCTCTCTTCTTTTCTTTTCTTTTTTTGGATACAGGGTCTCATTATGCAGTTCAGGCCAGTCTTGAACCCACTACACAGTCCAGGTTGGCCTCAAACTCATGGCAATCATCCTGTCTCAGCCTCCCGAGAGCTGGGATTACAGGAAATGTGCCACCACACCCACCATAAAGCTTAGTTTACATTAAATTAAATTACATTACATTACATTACATTAACTTTAATTAATTAATTAATAATAAATAAATTAATTAATTAATTTACATTAAATTAAATTAAAACATATATCAAAAATCTGATGCAGCATATCTGTATCTTAGTCTTCAGTATAATAGCTGATTATTTCTGCAGTGCATTCTGGTGACTGGCCTTTTACAGAACCAAGTGAGAAGAGAAAGGCCACTCATCTTCCTATGTGAGTCTCAAAATGTGCTGATGCCACCCATGTTTGAAAAAACAAAACAGAGTTTTTAGGATTCTTTGGCAAGTAGTTTTTAATTTCATGAAAGCACAGACATAAGTTACAGAGATGACTGGTCCTTTAGTCTGGTCAGCCTCCGTGGCAAAGATCCTGCTTAGATTTTCTGTTTCCTCAGTGTCTGTGCAGACTTGAGTCCTTGATCTCTTTCATTTCACACCCTTAAGTCGTCAGTGCCTCTCACATAAATAAAAGGCAACGAGAGTCTAGGAATTTTAGTCTCCTTTTTCTTAGATCACATATTTTCCTTTTTCCACCCAATTCCAAGCAGTCATCAAGTGCTTTTCTCTCTTCTCGGTGTTTATCTAACCTTTGGTCTTGTAAATAATGTAATGCCATAAAATAGAGCCTCTACTAACCCACAGCACAGCTGTCCAAGAAGTTTATGGACTCATAATTCAATTTGCAGCCAGAGAGTAAGCAAGCGACTATTAACCAGGGAATTCCAAGTCTAATATGCAATGCCTTTCTATGTTTATTTTATAGTCACTTCTGAGTTTTGATCACTGATTAGAAACAGAAAGTTTCAAATTCTGACATTTTGAAGAAACAAAATGCAGCAAATACAACCACAACATACCTGATGTATGGGGAAAGGGGAAAAGATTGGTATAGATTTCAGCCCGAAGACTTCTTGATAATAGGCCCATGGTACAAACCAAGTACCACTTGTTACTCAGCAGGCAACAAAATCACAAAACATTGTAACTGGAAAGGATTCTAGACATCGAGTCACATGTCTTCCCCATACATTCCCATTTGGAATTCCCTCAACATTCCCATTTGGGAGCAACCTAGTCACCACACGAAAATAAGGGCTGCCTCATTGGAATCTTATTCTCTTCTGTACAACACGTCTTTAAGAAACCTCCTTCTTTTTTTTAATTTTTTTAAATTTTATTTAAAAGGAAAAAGAGAAAAACACAAAACAAAACAAAGCGGTGTAAGGGTACAAGTAATACAGAACTACAAAAAAAAAAAAAAAAAAAAAAACCAGTAAGAAATCACCAGTTAATAGATTACATATTATCATCTTAGAGATAGTTGCTCAAATCACAGTATCAAAGCATACAAAGTGGACATTCAAACAGTGAGACTGCAAACAGTTGTGTTCAATGATCCAACTGAAAAACAATATGGTCAGCTATTTAACACCCCTAAACACACTTGCTGTTGTATCCGTTAGAGTTCTTTTTTTCCCCTCTCTTTTTTACAACAAAATTTACACATTTTGGGCTTTATTACTCCTTAGTTCTTATTACTTTTTGGGGGGAGAGAACAAAGTATGGCAAAACAAAGCTGTCAGTCAAAACCAAGGATAGACATAGCACATGATGTAAAACAGAGTACAAGGTTATCAACAGTGGTTAGCAACAATGTCTCTTGTTTCCTTAAAAAGAATTGTCTATCTCATTAGATATTATAAAGTTGAACAAAACAGTAGAGAACAAGACCAATAAAACTTTAGCATTGTAAACATTACAGGACTTCCAAAGGAGACAATAGTCAAACCAGAATGGGCATCTTAGTGAATCTTATTGCCTTCAAAGTAGTTGCCTATACCCTCAAACTTGATACTATCATACAGAATGGAACAGAGTCTAATCAGTCAAAACAAGATGGTGGGAGTATTACAGGACTTCAAAACAAGTTAATAGGAAATCAAAAAAAGTTACTATAATATATCCTGCTAATTTTTTTAATTTTTCCCCTTAATTAAAACAAACATAAGAAATAACTAACTATTTTTTTAATGAATAAGGGAGAGATTGAGATAAAACAGGACATAACAACATAACAATACAGGTCAAAGCATGACTGTTTCAGCAATCTAGTGCTTCGCCACCAAATAACCCGACTTAATAGTAGTTACCATAGTGTCTGTCTTTTTCCTTGAAATATTGTGTGAATACCGAATAGTTCCCCTAATGTAAGTAATAATTCAAATATATAAAAATATGTGGTAATCATGATTCCCCATTATGTGGCCTTGAAGCCTTATAAAGTTTTCACTTATTAATTGGAAAGGCTTTATTCTGGGCTTCTTGATATGGAAATATTTGAAGCTATAGTATATGAAGTTTTATTCAAGAAACCTCCTTCTTAAACAGCCAACAGTTGCTTCTTTGCATTTTCAACTTACGAATTCTACTTTACTCATTTAACCCGCACTCATGGAGTGTTCCATAAAGATAAACCGCATCTGCCCTTTATCCATCTGGAGAGACAAACCCATGACCAAGAATACAAATGAAGCACCACTTGCCTTCTCCCTGACTGTCCCCCCAAGCCTGGGAATTATTTACCTGAATCACCCCTCCCAAGAAGGAGACTGCCGCAGCAACACCGATCCTTTGTACCTCGAAGTCAGACAAGCCCAGCAGACTGGAGTTGTTCTGCATGGTGAGATTCTGGCTGCTTTGAGGGACCAGCCGTTCCACAGCATTGGCTGATATTAAAGATGTCAAGGCAAAGGTGCCTAAAAGCGGGAGTGTGGAGAAAAATATGCTATTAATAACTTTAAAATGCAAAAAGAACATTGTTAGGTTCTACCATTAACGTTAAAGCAACATTGGAAAGGTAAACAGATCATCAGAAAGGCTCTCCTTTCTTTCCCCAATTCTCTGCCTTCTGCAAACTCCATGAAACACCAGAGGCCTCCTGCACACATGTTCATTCTGCATGAAGCCATATGTGTCCACCTGCTCTGTCTTTCTAGATTTTCACTTTCCTACCTCTCTGCAGACTGGCACAGAGAATGTCCTAGAGGCAGGGACTCATGTCATGGTCCAGATTTAAATTCACTCTCAATTTACCAATTACTTAAAGTTCATTTAAAGTACTCTGGCTCTAAATTGCTTCTGACATTAGGTACAGGTAATAAAATCTATGTTTCAGGGCTTGGGATTAATGTAAAGGGGATAAATGTAAAGGTCTCAGTAGTGATTATATGTAAACTCTTTGGCTAAAATGTTTGCTCCTCCAAACTCCCTGGGCAAACCCTACTTGTCTTTAGAGCCAGCTCTAACTCCACCCCAGTTTCTTCAGGTCTGGCTTAAATCTTTCTATCTGCTGTGATCTCATAACCAGTGTACCTTTGTTATAGTATAACATGCTGTGACCCATAAAATGACTAAACATGCCATTCTGTCTAAGATTATTAAATAAGGTTCAGAAATTATTATGGCCTCAGACATATGTGGGGCTGTGTTAAGCATGTTCCCTTTTTCCTGTCAAGAGTCACAGTTTCTCTCTTCTTGGCACACACACCATGCCTGAGTATGCAGCCATATGAATATGGAAATGCTGGTTTCCACAGACAAGGTCAGCACTCTTGGGTTAAAGAAACATACAGCAGGATTATGCAAACATTCCCCTAGACTGGTTGCTTAAAGACTTTACTTTGTTACAAGTCATGAGACTTTGTGGAAAGAAGGCCTGCTAATGTACAAACAATCCAACATAAAGTCTGGAGCAGCACAGGGCAAGAGAGACAACAGTCCCACACACAGAAACCAGAGTCCCATAGCAGAGGGTCTCAATGGAAACCAGACTGACATGATTCTCCTGGGTTTCAGAATCTGAGGGGCAGGATGTCCTTATTGGTGAGGAAATAACACTCTTCATCCAAAGGATTGCTATGAGGCAAATGAGATAATTAAATACAGTGTGTGTCATGGAGTTTGCATCTAAGGTCATTAGTTATCACTAAATAAATACTACTTATTCAGATAAGGTGAGCAAAATTAAGGTCGGAATGCTCTGGTATAGAGTATTAATCTATATCCTTCTCTTAGAGTTGATGGCATACAATCACAGAGAACTGAATATTGTTCTCGTAGTGAATTAGGTCATTTCAATAAATTATCATTACATATTAACCATTATGATCACTGCCCTTATCACAAAGAACTAAAGAATATATCAAGAAACTAAGATCTGATATTTAGAAACAAGATTTTGGTGACCAGATGAGCAACACTAGTAAAGAACAACCACCGTGGAATTGTGTTTTGTAAAAACATTGTTTCAGTGTATGGTACAATAGAATAGTTTTGAGATCAAATCAGATACTGCTGACACGAAAGAAATGTATCTTTTGGTTCTTACATCTCTTAGAGAACCTGGGAAAAAAATATTTTTACAGAAGCCATGAACAGATGACTACGGAATTGAAAATAAAGTCAGAAATGTTTCATTTCTAGGTTAAAACTATTCTTCCTGGTAGTTGAAGAAAAATAAAAGGAAACTGGATGCTAGGAGACTTGAGCCGAGGAGCTGGGGTTGCCGTGAAGATGTGGGGGGAATATTCTGTTTTTTCTGTCTTGTAAAGCTCCCTCTTGTCTTTATCCATCCTACCACTTCTTTATTCTTTTCCTCATTTCATCAACTTTTTACTCTACTGGCAGAACCCTTTAATGCCACTAATCCATCATAAGTCAATAGTACTGTGGGTATAACTATCGAACCAGAAGCGAGTATGGATCCCAGAATTAGACCCAAGTTCAAGTCCTGAGTCTGCTGCCTGTGATCTTAGTCAACTTACCTGCCCCTCTCAGCTTCTTTGTGTTTAAACGATGATAAAATAGGTTCAAACTTCCAGTAGAGATTAAATCAGATTTCATGTACAAAATGACTTAGCATCAATCTTACAGTATCGTAGGCTTTCACTAAATAATTGTCAACTTATTTTCATTTTGTTCTAAAAAGCATCTAATACAGTCTTCCTAGCTTTTCTTTAAATTGCTGACATACTTTGCTCTTTCAAAAATGTTTTTAATGTAGACACTGAGTAAATCATGAGAACTGTGACTTATTTGTAATCTTCAACAAGTCTCTTTCCATTGGACTCATACCGAGGTTTCTAGTTTTTTTTTATTTTGCTTTTTTTCTATTCTTGTCATAAAAAAAAGTAGACTAATTGATTATTTTATAAACAATTATATTTTATTAAAATAAGAAAATTCACATTGTTGATCAAAAGAGCACATTTGATGTCTTTGTAGTCTGACTTTATGAATTATTTACGTTTTAAAAAGATGCTCCTAGCGTAGTTTGTGGTTGCCTCTGGTAATGCAGTATTGCATTCTGAACACCTATGTTAGAAGGAACACCAAAATAAAGGAATTTTTCTTCATGAAAATAATACAGATCTCTTAGTAAATTGGAACCGGGAATGTGCCTATCAGATACACTAAAAGTAAAATAAAATAATTTAAGAAAGAAATATGTTCTATATATTAAATATTTATTTGGAGGACCTTTTGGAGAAATTCAATTAACTGTTATGTCTAAAATCATGGGAAGGCCAAAAAATAGTTACTGTAATTCCTCTGATATGTTCAGTGTCCTATGAGGATAAAGGACCACATCTTCCCATTTGATACAAATAATTCTAATATTGGGTTAAAATTAAATAAGAAGGTACAGTTGTCTCTGTGAAATACAATTGCAGAAATAAAATGCTGTTAGGATTTATGGTGCCATAGAGTAACAATAGTTAAATCTATAAATTATGAGTTTTGAATTACCTATTATTTACCTAATAGGCCCAAATTTCCTATAGCTGTTAATAATTTGTTAAATAACTTAATTTCACAGTCTTCTACAAATGGTAATTTCAATACTATTAAACCAGTAAAACACAGCAATTTCCTAGGAGGTAAAATGGTTCATGTAAATACACATTTAGGTATTATCCAGTTGTGTATTTTGAACTTCCTAATGTAATTATAGTCTATGGAACAAATTTGTTTTGAGTTCTTCTTTAATCTTAGGTTAAAGAGAGGAAATGCTGTGGAGTCAGCTCTAAAATAGTCTGATTTTTCTTTCTCAGAACATATTTAAATGTTCTAAAAAATGTAGATAAACTTAAGAAATTATGAAGCAGAATAATTCAAAAACAATAAGCTCTTAAGAATTTCTAATTTATCCTTATGCTCATCTTTCACACTAATACAGAAGCAAAGCTCATTCTAGAATTCCTAGCTGTCAAGAAATAAAAGGCTCAGGCTTTAGACTTGGTTGTATCTGTTTTAGAAACCATGTACCTGTGACCTTAATCTGTGTTCTCACAAGAAACTTCCTCACTTCAGGGGTTTGTAGTTTTTCTTTTTCACTTAAAATATATTGGATAATAATGTCTATTTGAAAGGGATAAATTAAGGTAAAATAACATGCAAAGTTCTTAATAAGTACATAATGGATGATACATGCATAATTCTGACAGTTAAACACATGTAATATGTATATCACACATACACATAACATATACCTATATAATAATGCAGCATTTATTTCTATACAGTTACGTATTTCTTAATCACAAAGATACATTGTGAGAAATGCATTTTAGGGGATTTCACTGCTGTCCAAACGAAACGCTATAATTACTCAAACTAAAATAACTATGACATCATTGAGTAGTAACATCTTATGGTACCATGGCCTATGCCATTTGTTGTTGACTTAAATTTCATTATGTAGCTCATGACTCGTGTGTGTGTGTCTGTATGTGTGTAAGTATAAAATGTGTAAAAGATGGAATGCTTGTGACAGTGCTAACCCTGATTGAACAACTCTGAAACAGAAATTAAGATTTTTGCCTTTCCAACTAGCTTCCACATAATGCAGACTCATGGAGCACGTTTTAGGAGATAGTGTTTTAAATAACTGCTAGTTATTGACCCTTCCTCATGACAAAGTCTGTTGATATAAAAAGCTAAATTTACATAAATGGAGCATTATATTATGTGAAACTTCATGCATCAGATTGGTGGGCAAAGTAATAGTCCCCTAAATACATCTGGATCCCAATCTCCAGAACCTCTGAATACATGGTACTCCATGGCAAATGGACATTATTGCTGCAAATGTAATAATATTTCCTAATGAGCTGGTCTTAAAATAAGGAGATTATCCTGGATTATTCAGGTATATTCAGCATAATCACGAGATCCTTTAAATATGGAAGTGGGAGGCAAAAGAGCCGAGTCAGAAGAGATTTGAAGATGCTAACTGCTGGCCATGGTCAAGAAACACAAGAAGAAAGGAGTCATGCAAGTAGTCTGTCCCCTACTCTCCAGACAGGAACTCAGCTCACTGACACTTCAGTTTTAGGCCTGTGAGACTCATTTCTACTGACCTTCAGAAGAACCACAGAGTAGCTCTTTGTTGTTTTGAATCACCAAACTCGTGATAATTTGTTGCAGCAGTGACAGGAAACTAACATAAATCACCTAACTAACCACTGAGGACATAGCCTAAAATAGTATCATTTAGAGGGTGAGATCTTACATGAACAAAATAAGTAGGTATTTCCATTTAAAATTATTTTACTATTATCTTAGTATTTATTGTTTTTACAATAATAATAGCTAGCTGATTAAACCTTCTTGTGAAGCAAGTACTAAGTTAAACATTGTGTATCACTTCTCTAGTTCTCTCTATAATTATATGAAATTTGGAGGGTCATCTCACTACCATGAAAGTGGCATTTAGAACTAGATTTAAAACTCTGCCAGAATCATGCTGGTAGCAAACAGATCTATGCCCCAATTTAAATAAAATGAAACGCAGCCTGCTGTATTATCAGAACAAGCATGACTGTTCATAAATCATTGGATCACAGAGTCAGGCAAGGTCAGAATAGTCATTAAGGGGTATTGCAGTCTCTAGCCTGGAAAAACCTAGAACATTTAGTCCAAGTATCAGATACATATAAAATAGTCTTTAATATTTGAGTAACTAAATTTTATAGTCTATTTTGCTTTCTTTCAAGAGTTTTATGTTCTCTGGACATTCTGCCTTTTTATAGTCTTTTTGAGGTTTAACTTAATGCAAATAATCCATAGCAATAACTTTGGTTATATAATAACATTGCAATACAGCATACTGTGTATTGACTACCTGAAACACAGAAATATCTAACCTTTAAAAATGCTGAGGTTTTCAATAGTGACCTCCTTTTGAGATGTAATCAGCAATGAAGTATCACTCTAACACTTTTTTTATTAGTAACATGAGAAGCATAACCATAGTCAGGAATTATCACCTGTGGCAACATGACGTCCCATTCCAAATATGGCATAAATGATGGCAGGGAACAGAGACCCATATAATCCAAAAACAGGGTGTACAGATGAAAGAATAGCAAAAGCCAGTCCTGTGAAGAAAACCAAGACAATTAGGGCCATCAAATGGCATCAAATATAATCCATTGTATAATAAAAGGACTATTGTAATCTGTTGTTACATAATCCATTATATAATAAAAGCCAAAATGAAACATAATATACTCTACTCATTCAACAAATACCTAACATTATTGTCCTAAGTAGAAGAAAAAAAATCACTCATTCATACACATACTTAAATTCCCCAAATCACTATTTTTATACTATTCTTGTCCCTTAATAATAAAGATGTCCGTAAAAAAAAACAATGGTTTAGAGTGTCCTGTAGGCAAAAGGTAGGTTGGTATGATACTCCTGTAGCAAAACATTTAAAAACACACTTAGATTTTAGGAGTATTTTCACATTTTGTAATTATTTTCACAGTAGCACCGGTGAGATAAGCAGAAGCAATAGCTTCACCACTGACCAATAAGAAGCCTTATGTGGAATGGGTCAGGACTGGAGCCAAAAGAGTGCATATTAAAAGGTGGCTGGTTGATTGGCTGACTGACCGACCTAAGACCATGTGTCATAATGGCAGCCCAGTGGCTGAAGCTATCTGTTTCCCACTATCTGGACCCTAATCTCTATGTCAGGTATAGTTTCTTAGACAAGGTTTAACTTATAACTGTTGATTTTTATTCTTCATAGATACTTCTTTCTATATAGTTTACTATGTATGTGCATACAGAAATATTTCATCATGTCTAAATGATGATTAGTGGTTTAAATGTGGGCAGAATGTCTAGGGTCATTAAAAGTGGTTGTTTATAGTTGATCATTGGCATTAAGCAACTACTATGGTAGATTCTAGAAAGTCTATCCAAGCCTATGGCATTAATGCTAGGCACTGGTTTGGACATAAATCACTACAGGTTATAAGAAGACTCAAAAAAGAAGGCATTAGAACCTGGAACAACTGAGTTCAAGGCCAGGTCTCCCTACTGTGGAGCCTGGAAGTCTGGTTCATTTTTAGCATTCATTTTTACTGTTGAACTTTTACCATTTTAAAGTAAATGTGACTGTATCTTAAAAATAACCACTGTAATTATACATCAAATATTTTTCAAGTAGTGTAAGTTGTTACTTGTGATTAAGAAACAAAAATTCTAGTATATGTGCTGCCAAAGAAAATGCAAAACATGAAAGTTGTAATCATGACAATTCTAAAAGGATTTTTTGCCCATTAATATTGAATTCCTAAATCTCTGTCAAAATTTAAAAGTGATGACAGAAGAATCAGTGGCCGAGACTGCTCAGATTTCATACAGGTGTGTTAAGAGGCAGTGATAACATCAGTGGAGAGACAGATGAGCAGATCTTGCTTTAGAAAACTAAATATCCCCAACCCTTACCAACCACTAACCTTTTGGCCTTTGTAGTGTAACTTCATAAAAAATACTGCATTTCTTCTTGGAAACAACCCAAATGCCCATCAATCAAGGAGTGGATAAAAAAGATGTAGTATTTTTATACAATAGAGTACTACTCAGCTATAAAGAAGGGTTGTATTGAGGCTTTTATAGGTAAATGGATGAGACTTGAGACCTTACTCATAAGTGAAATAAATCAGACACATATATGCAAATACTGTATGGTCTCCCTAGTGTAGGAAGCTGAAAGAGTAAATACGATTCAAAATCTACAATAGATATTGTGAAAGGGTGAGACACTGCTCAAAGGGGAAAAATAATTATAATTGGGAAAGAGAAAAGGAAAGGAAAAAGCTATAAATTTGTTTATATATACATAAAATAGCTATGATGATTATACTACTAATTCTATTAGTTCTTGGAAAAGAACAGTTAATACTAATACAGTTAGATCAGTTTGCATGTCTATATATGATAATCTAAGCAACTCTTTTGAAGATAACAATATACAACATTACAACTATTGTTAAATTCCTTTCATCTTGTTTTTGTATATTATTGTTTAAGGGTTTGTTTTGTTGTTCTTTTTGTTTATGTCTCTTGTTTTTTGTTTTTCTTTTCTGTGTTTTTTCCTCTTTAAAATAAAATAGTACTGCATTTCTATTAGTCATATACAAAGCTAGAAATTAGTTTTTGCTAATCTATTCATTTTTTCATCTTTTTTTAATAACAATTATCTATCAAGAGATAGAAATGCAGTATTTCCACATAAGAAAACATTTGGCTTGCATTTTACAACAGCCCACATTGTCCAAATTCACTAAGTGGGAAGAGCATGAGGCACATTTAACAAAAGCACCTTGGGTGACATCATGTGGGAGACAAATTCTGTAGTTCTGGTCGGTACCCACAGGCCTGAATACTGTCAGAGGTGGATCTGGTGGACTGGGTTTCTACACTACCGGCAGCCAGCAAACATGAATGCAGATCTGAAAGCAGTCTGATCCTTTCCTCTGTTTTGAGAATAGCTGCCTCCTCTTAGTTCGTCTGCTTTTTACAATTAATTCACTCTGTAACACTTATTCAATAACTCTTTTTTTATTCCAAATAAATTCCATAACAAAATTAGCTTAAAAACTAAGTATCTCTGGGTCTCCCATGCATATGAACTTAAAATGGAAATAATCAGGCAAATATATTTAAAACATTTTTTTAAAAAAACATCTATAGATCTACATATTAAATGCAAATATCACTATAGTAGATTCTACAAGAACAACTCCAAAACCCAAAGTCACGTATGCAATCCCTTTATCCCCTAAGATTTGAGCTTTTGCTTTAAGCAACATTATCATTCATCCTTAGTGGAACATATTTCTCTACTAAAAAGGCAATAAACTATGACCAAACTGAAGGAAGAATGAACCAATTCAGAAACGCAGCACTTAATTATTTTTAATATTGTATTACTTTTTATTAGTACATCTTCACATTACATAATGATTATGCTCATTGTGGGGAGTTGGCGCATGCACATAACACACCTTAATTCTTTTTCCTTCCTCTCCCCCTCCCCTCTGTTCACACCTCATCCCTTGATCTTTATCTCTAGATTCCTTTGCCATTTGAAAAAGACTTAGCTCTTATTCCTCTTATTCATCTTTGTCTCTTTACCTTATTACACTATGTGTTTCTCATATGAAAGAAACCATGCAATATTTAAGCTTGCATGTCTGAAGACCTCGTATTAGAGCTATACATCCATACTCACCTTTATAGCAGCACATCACATAATAAATAAATCCTATGAAGTGTCCTATGTATTCATCACCAGGTGACTGAATACAGAGATACAGTACTTTAAAACTGAATATCTTCACCACAAATGAAAACTACAAAAGGTAGAACATCCCTTTGTAGAGATCATCCCACTCACACACATGTTTTTAAAATGAATGCTGCATAGTTTTATTTTACTGATTCATTTATTATTCTGGTTCATATTATAAACTGTATGCATCTTTTCACACATATAATAACACAAGATAAGTCTGTGAAATTCTTCCAAAAGAGAGAACAACATTAACTAGTTAAGGTACTTTTTAAGTAGTAGGATACTGTTTTCTGTTTAATGTAATGGTATTCAGTAGGAATAATCACACCTCTTTAATAATAGTGTTAAGAAAAAGTTGTTACACATGCTAATAGATACTTGCATTGCCTAATCTAACTGAGATAAGAGCAAAGGACACAAATAGAAGCATCAGAGAGTACAAAACAAAACATACATTAGACCAAAGGACACAAAGTGAGTGAAGGGAGAAAAAAAGGAGAAAAGATGAGGAGGCAGATAGACAGGTGAGAACTTAAAGACTGAGATCTTTAGATGGCTGGGTTTTTCTTTTTTCAATACTGGGGAATCAGCACAGAGCCTTGCATGTCCCCAGATTTTTACATTTTTTGTCGAGCAGAGTTTCACTAAGTTGCCCAGGCTAAACTAGACCTTGAGCTCCCCCTGCCTCAGCCTCCCAGAGTCTTGGGATTATCAGTGAACATCACCATAGTCAGTTTAGATCGCAGATTCTTTTTGAGGTACAAAAATCATGTATAGCTAATGCAAGGTTTGCACAACCACAAAAAAGTCACCAGAAGACTTTGAAAGAAAATATGCTTTTTGAATATGCTAATAGTCATTAGAGTAGAAACAAGAAACTCCAAATTCCCACATCAAAATTATCAGTAACCTCTGGGCTTGTACATACTCTAACCTCTGCAGGAGCTCTTGGTTTGGAAGCTGAGCACACACCACGAGCACACCATCCTTTCAGTGAGAACACATTCCCTGAATGCTGCAGGTTCAGGGAGAAACCTGGATCAGATCCTCCCTCACAGCCTGACCCTGACCAGCGACCTTGAAAGCAGGTAAGAGGCTCAGTGTCTGCCTCTGCTCCCACTAACATAATGTGGTTGAAATCCCCAGAAAGTGACTCAGTCTCCAAGGTGAGAAAATGGTTGCTATCTTAAGATTACATTTTAATTTATTTCAGACTAGTTCATCTAGATTTATAGAATAGCAATTATTCACTGAAGAAAGATGGGTCACATGTAGAAACTGAGTAATATAGTCAAAGTTGGGACCGGTATTAGGGTTACACATACAGAACCACTCTGTTGGAGACATTAAATTTTGGTGACAGTGACCCCACTTTTTATGCAAGGCTAAGTAACTAGGAGCCCGAGCACTACTGTCCCTCCCTTCGGGTTGACTCTGGGAATGACAGCATTTTATGGGCTGCAGCCTTGGCTTAGGAATTTTAATTAGCACTAACACAAGTCAATTCTAGCAGAAGGCATTGCTCGTGGAATTTCAACTCTCTTTATTAAATCTCTTTAAATACCATTATATATTGAATTGTCCCCCAAAATTTTGTATAGAAATCCTTACCCGTAGTATGTCAGAGAATGAAATAATATTTCTGAAGATGTATTAGTCATAATGAAAACAGAATGGAATAAGGTGGACCTGCCTAGTCTAGTCTTACTGGTGTTTCCATAAATAACCATGTGAACAGAAAGACAAGTCCACAGGAAGAGCACCATGTAGATAACGACAGAG